AGAAGGCTCAACAAACTCAGCGTCATCGGCTTCGTCCTTGTCAGTCTGCACAAGTTCAGCGACACGTTGAAGTACATGGTCACACTGCTTCTGCTCAGACCTTGGATAGGTAGTGATAGGTACGATCAAAAGCTGTCTTAAAACAATATCCCAAACAAATCAATAACAAAAATATACAAACATATACAAACATATTCCTTCAACATGACCCGAACTTCGACCAGTTCAACTCATGCAAGCAACGGAGCACGGGCTGTCGTCTCGCCCTCGTCCTCGCTGCTGTCCCCGTCTTCAAAGATTGGAACTGATTGCTGCATGGTTGAGAACCAGTTCACCTGGCAGCTCTCCTCATAGTACTGCTTCAAGGATTTTTTCTCAACATGTGCAGCCCATGAAGCCAGATCCAAGGCTGAATCATATGCTCTCTGGCAACACTCACGAAACCTTGGTTGATCTTGGTTGCATGTTGTTTCATGTATGTTCACCGTTCGCCCGAGAAAAAGCAGAAAACACCATGAAACACCTGAAAAAACATACAAAAGGGGTAAAACATGTAAACATCAAACGCAACAATGAAAAAATTACAAACACACACTGCGCAACTTCTCGTCGCTCAAAGGTGCCTCCTTCGCCTTCTTTTTTTGCTTAGGTTCTTGGACCTTTTTCCTCACTTCTCTGAGTGTTTGGAACGCTGAAAGTCGAAGGAAGGATTCCACATCAAGCTCTGCGTTTGTCTGCGCTGTTCTCAGGCAACCAAACAAGCGCTCGATGGTCAACTCTGAGATGCGAAGTTTTCCATTGTGCCACGGGGTGAACTCTTCCTCAGCCACACCAGAGTTGAAATCTCAACAAAACTTGCTGGCCGCCCGTATCGTCATTATCTTTTTAAACCTTGTCTTTATGACCTCATCCTATTTCATCAGCTTACCAGAAACACGTAGAAATGCTAGCAGTCCTGTCAAAACTGTCCAGACATGATCATGTGTCCACATGTTGGTAGACCCAAAGCTGCTCCATCGTAGCAACAAACATCAACAAACTACTTCTACTATAAAATGACAGAACCTACATCTTAATTGCCCATACTTCTCTTCAACACTACAATGAGCAATGATATAGCTTTGGGGGGGGTCGGGGCACAGCACTTTATAGAGGGGCATTACGGCATTACGAAGCAATACAGACATAGTTAAACATATTGGATGTAGATGGATGTAGTAGAATACAATATGGCATAATAGATCATAATAGGTATGTGATGGTATGTGTGATGTTTTCTTTGTTACATCTTGTTGCATTCTGCGTCGCACTAAATTAAAATAAGACTAATCTAAATTAAGCTAAATTAATCTAAATTATATCACCTCCAGGGGTTGGAGGCCTGATTTTATAGAAGACACGTTTTGAACCTGATAGAACTTGTATGAGCCTGTTGTCTCCTGTGTTGGCAAATGCTCCCTGCAATTCCATACCATTCCCATCCATTCCCTACCTGATTCCTGCAAAAGACGATCTAAGATGATCAAAGACATTATAGACATTGACATACATTAACAAACACAAAGCCTGGTGAATGAACAAATTCCACTGTCCCGTCATGCTTCTGGCCGCATCAGGAGCAGGAGTACCGTCGACAGGCTCACGTTTTGGAGGTTCATGACTGGCGTATGTGACATGGAGCAGGAGCCCACGCGTTCAGCTGACTGCGACTCGCGTCTTGCTGAAAGGATCATGAACAAATCCCAGGCAATGAAGCCTGTCAGGGCGTTCTCTGCCCTTTCTCGAGTTGTCATCCCTGTATGTAAGGCTGGCGAGTACGCCAGCGCAGTCGTCACAGAGAATAGGAGCGCTCCACGGCTATGCCATGGAATAGTCCTCAACTCTTTGTTGGTGTCTTCAACTGACGTGACGAAATACTCTGGACAGACCAGGAGAGCGTGTAGTAAATCACTTTGGGCATCTTTTTTCATAAATGCAGCTTGTGGTAGGCCGTTGAGGAGGGCTCCACTAAGATCCACCCAGAAATCTCCAAGCATGATCGTTCTGCTTGGTCCCATGAGCTGATTCCCGGTGTTCTTCGCGGCGTGGCCTTGTGAAGCTTTATTGGACTTTATTGGTAACACAGAGCATCGCAAAGCGATGCACGGAGAAAAACATTATATAAAAAAAATCACAATAAAACACATAGGAACTAGCATGAACTAGCACAGAATAGCACTTTGCTGGCTCAGGCAAGGCGCACAACGAAACATGGCCAGCTTGGCAGGACATCTGGGAAGAGGATGCTCTGGCAGATCATGGAATCTCAGTTGGTTGAAAAAGAGCGGGGCCTTCTCCCGAGCCAGCTTCAGGTCGTCCGCTGTCGGCACACCAAACAACAGCCGCCTTAGCGGCTGGTGTGCTGTTGCAGCATCGAAGGCCAGGCCGATCAGGACATCACTGCCCTCAAACATGACTCTGTCCATGATGGTCAAGACCACGCCAGCATCCAGCTCTGCGCAATGGACGGGCAGTTGAAGCGGGCACAAAGGCAAGGAAACGGGTGCTGATGGATCCCATGCAACAACAGTAAACCTCAGCTTATAAGAAAACTTGAGAGGAGGGAGACACGAAAGGATTCCCTCGGAAAAGCAAATATGATAAACTATAAAGTCCTTAACCAAAGAAAAACATTTTTACTTTTAAGGCTAAAGTTTTTGAATGTTTTTGAGTCACCTCCCAGTCCATTGGGCGAACCTCAACACGATCCAAGTAACATGTCCGTAGCTTTCGTAGTATTGACCACATCGATATCCTGGCTCAATTCTAAGGCTGCACTGCCGGGAGTCGAAGCTGACCACGGCGATCCAACCAAAGTCACATTTCCTGCCTCATCAACATGTTGGATCAAAGACTGCAGCAAATATGTGACGTCCATTGCTGCCACCAGTCTGCCTGTCCATCAAAAACCAATTGATAAAAAAACAAACAAGCAAAAAACAATACAAAACATACAGATACTGTACATACAGTAACACACATAAATCATATTAAAATATATTAAATCATCATAAATCATAAAGATGAATGCGTGCCAGTTGCGACCAGAAGTGTCAGATATCACTGACAGTTGCTGATCGATCATAAGGAAATTGTGCCCCAAGGCCCCTGGTCTGTCAATGGCGTTGAATGGTATTGGAAGCGATGCTTTTTGAAGAGCCGCGGAATAGTTGTTGTTCTTGTGTGCGCTGAAGGGTCTTGTGTGCGCACCAAAGATCTTCAAGAGATGGCGGTTTCCTCGACTGGCCAGGCACAGCAATCGTCCAGCCTCGCACGCAAGCTCTCTGGCCTCTGGCGAATACATTGGTGAACTCTTGGCGATTCTTCCTGTTGTAAGTCCTGCACCTTGATGGCCTGCATCTTGGCGGTCTGCCACGCGGAGACAGGTCATGATGAGACCTTGAATCATGGGATTTGAATCAAGCCTCCCACTCATGCAGGCCTGTGCAAGCTGCACCCTGATCTTGTCAAGCTCGTTACTGTCATTCCTGGCAAGGAAATTCTCGAAAGTGGCTTGAACATTCAGCAGGATGGGCCTTTGCTGGCCAGCTGTGGTGAGGTTGAGCTTGAGGCAAGGTGTCACCACAGAGCTCATGTAGCACGAAAGAACATCGTTACGTTGGTCGGCTCTGATGGACAAAAAGCTCGCACGAACCCACTGCTGCAGTTCGTGGTTCTTGAACGCAATGACCTTCTGAACCATGTTTGAATGCCTCTGGCCGATGACAGTCTCATTGATGGCACCAATGCACTGCTGTTGGCGTTCTTCGCTTTCGAATATCCTCGAGAAAAGGAGATCAGCTGCAAACTTTTTCAACCCGCATTTCACCATGTTCTTGCGCAAGTTGTAAAGTGACAAGCAGCTTGTACACACAAAACCTTTGCCCACCACTTCATGGCAGGTGCCACTACAGTCTTGGTGGCGCAGGGTGTGGTTGCCTGCGCTATCAACAGAGTAGCTGTGCTTCTCCCATTCTGAGGCTACTGCTTTCCACGCAACCCAAAGCTTGAATTGTTGCAAATAGGGGTGCAAGGCATTCTTCTCGTCGCTCAAGCACATGCCCTGACATGGTTTGAGTTGATTTTGATGAAGCGCTGCCATCTCCTGGCTCTTCCTTGAAGCAATTAACCTTCTGTGCATTTGGCCGCCACAGTGCTGAGTGGCAAAGTAGACTATGTCTGATTTCTTGTATGAATGCAGGTCGAAGACCTTGCCATCCCTCTGAGCCCTCGATGTGCATAGGGTGCATCTCGCAGGAACCTTTGCCTTCATGTGAGGTTGGCGTGGAATCACCTGGCAATATATGCAGAATCAAGCAGATGTGCACCTATAAAATCCCTTGCTTTGAAGCTGCTGGTTTTGCTAATGAGTTATGGCTGTTAAGAGCATTAGCTAAAGAGTTAGTAACTAGTTATAACTAGTTAGTAAAAGCTGATTTTTTAAAATTCCAAAGTCAATTTTTTTAAAAATGTAAAATATATTTTTGTTTTTTGTCGGCCAAAAACACAATGTGTTCCTTTTAAACTCCAAAAAAAAGGAAAGCAGGTACATGCACAAGTAAATCCCACGAATGTTTCAACCAAACATGTTGGCATTGAACATTTAAAAGTCATACACTATATGAAAGATGGGCACCAACCTGGAACGCTTCTGCAGGTATACTAATGACAACAAAATGTACTGCATTGTCCATTTGGTTTGGCTTTCCAAAATACAAAAAACAAAAAATACAAACAATCCAAAGATTGGTGCCACAAGCAGCTGATTTGGCATTTGGTGATGAAAAACAAGCAAACACTTCAAGAGCCTATACAGGCTGTATAGCCTTCAATGGCAAATGTAGCATTTGCAGGCCTATACAGGCTGTAGCCTACACATGCCAAAACATAAGCTTGCAAAAGCTAACCTCGTACCAGAACACAAGCTTCCAAAAACTATGTGCAATTGTGAAACAGATTTTTCACTCTGGGCAAGACAAAAGTGCAGGGGTCAAACAGGTGAGTGTGCCATCCTTTCCATGTGAATGGATGACAGGCTGCAGCACTTCTCTCACATCCACCAACTTCAAAGCACCACCTGCTTGCCATTTGCTAGATTCTGTGCCAGCCCTGAGGCCAAGAAGTGTGAACATGTCCACCAGGCACAGCAACAAGCCTGCTGCATCAAAGAAATGCTTGACTTGACCACACTGCCAAAACTCATTGCCACCAGGATGCTTTTGCATGAATACAACATCATCTTTGTAACAAGTTGCCCCATTCTGCAAGATGCAGCGCTTTGAGTACACCATGCCAGGAACAAAGCACTGAAGCTCTTGAAACATCTTTGCCAGCTTCTTGGTGAGGCCAGAAGGGTTGATCAAATGGCAACTGGCCTTGAACAAATCATGTTGGGTCACCAAGGTGTTGATGTGTTCCATGGAAACAGCACTCAACAACCCCTTCTCATAAGTTACCAACTTGCAGTGGACACTTCCAAACTTCCTGGGTTGCTTATGCTTTCTCTCAAGTGCCCAACAGGCTGGTAATTGTGACCATCTCCTGAGGCAGTCTGCAAAATGTAGGCACCAATGAAATTTTGGTTTCATTTGATCAGCAAAGCCTCCAGCAACTGTTGCTGCCATCGCCTTTTCCACCAAGCTCAAAAGTTTGGCAGGTGAATTGTCTGACAAGAAAGGCAAAGAGGTCAAGTAATCAAGGACTTTTGTCCAGCACACATAAGCCTTGCATTGCACCACCATGATATTGTGTGCTAAATACATCACTTTCAAGAAGTGCTCCACAGGCTTGTACACCTGCAAAAGTTGAGAGGCATCGCATTTAAAGGTTCCAGCTTTTCTGTTGCTTGCCACAGCCTTGCCTTCGAACAATTTCTCAATGTCGGAAATGGAGTAAGCTCTGGGGAATGACCACAATTCCATCCAATCCTTGAGATTGTCCCAAGGCTTGAGACCAGACTCAGATAGGTGGATGCTTTCAACAACCAAGAAGAGCATATCATTTAGCACTCCATGGCTGCACAGGCCATGCATGTAGTCGAAGGCATACAATGAAACTGGTTTCAACAGATTGTTGTTCAACAGCTTCTCACTGGACAACAGAGCATGCACAGAGTATGACAAACCTGCTGCTTGTTGCCTCAGATCGAACTCTTTTTTGGACACTGTGTGCAGTTGCCTTCCCAACCTTTGCCAACTGCTGACCACCTCTGTGTCTGTAGCAATCTGCAGCTGATCATGTTTCAAGAATTGAGAGAAAACATTGCCACCTCCTGCTTCAAGAGTACTTGCATCCCTCAGTTGAAACAAATTCTTGCATAGGAAGCATGGTTTGCTTCCTGTGTCTTGTCGACTTGCCCATACAGACTTCTGGGCAGCACCATCCTGTAGAATCATGCTGAGGGTGAAGTGAAGCCTCAGAGACCCCTTAGGTGATGTCAAGAGCACACCTGTCTCAGGCACCCCACTTGCAAAAATGTCTTCCAAGACAATGCGGAACAGTTGTGAGATACCTGCTGCAAAGGTACCAACTTCTTGGCTTCTGGAAATTGCTATGCAAAACCAACAGTCAGATTTGCTCAAGAATCTATTAAATTCCAAGAAGGATATGTAGATGCACCATGACTTTCTGCTAGTGGAATGCAAGATGTTGCCAGGATGCACCTCATCACAGAAAGCCACACATCTCCAAGGTCTCTCTACACTTGATGGTGTCACTGCATGCAATTGAAGCAAAAAGTCAGTGAAAGCTCCAGCTTTGTGGAATGTTCCAGACAATAGTGACAGAAAGTTGATGTAAATGGTCTCCTTCTTTGTGTTGTCAACTGTTGTGACCTCTGCATGTTTGAAAAAAGGACCATACATGGTCATGCTTGAGTCCTCCAAGAAATCCTTGGTCTCTTTCCAAATTGCATACCTGGATAGATTCTCAGGTAGCCCTCCACTCTCAATCTCTTTGCAAATTGCAGCCAGTGCAGTTTGGGAGCAGAAAGGAAGAGATGACCTCAAGTCACTGATCTTTCTTCTTTTGGAACCACCTTTGTCATGCTCCATGGCTCTCTAAAGCACATGTGGTGCAAGTACCAAACTCAAACTAAATGAAGCTTCAATGCTTGTATATCCTACCAAATGAAACTTCAATGCAAGTTTTTTGCAATCTTTACTAAATTCAACTTCAATGCTTGAAAACTTACCAAATTAAACTTCAATGCTTGTAGAAACTACCTTGTGTTTCTTTCATATCAGCTGCAATGAAAAGGACACATGTATGGGTAAGTATGGAATGCCCTCAAGTTACTGGTTGCCTGTAATGGCTGCCTGCAATGGCTGGAATGAGCCTGGAGTGGCAGCCTGTAATGGCCTTTGGGTTTGCTATCTCTTTTTCTTTTTTTTCCCCTCTCTCACACTGCCACTGAGTTAGGTGCGAGGCCACTCACCATGCTCCACATAGTGCTCAATCATCTTCTCCACAGTAGCCACTTCCTGGTTGGACAGGTCAAGGTTGCCCTGGATGTGCATCACAAAGTCTGAGGCAAGCATCCACTCTTGCCAACCTGGCAGGGTGCCACCAGCAAAGTTTTGTATGTTGAGCCTATACATGCTTCTTTGTTGTAAATGCACCTGGCCCA